TATATAATCTGGAGGTTCGTGCACATGCATCCAGTCACACACCGTCAGACAAGACATTTTACAACATGCGTGCATATTAAATCAGACGTGCACGGATCACAGGCATCGGTTTTAGGAAGTTGAGGTTATCAGTCATTTAAATTTAACATTACTGATAAAGTCTCATTTATCAACAAGCAGACGCAAACAAAAGTTTCTCAACTTTTTCAAGCCCTTAAAACGCTTTAAATTGATTATATTTTACAACTCCAATTTCAAATACTTCAAATACTAAAATATCAAAACAACTACTGCAAGCAAAGGTTGAGAAACTCGAGGCTTCACTCAGAACATTAAGGAGATGCAACGAGCTCGGAGACGCAACGCTGAGGTCAAAGATCAGTGATGTTAAATGAGGATAAAGAGGAAACTGTTATTAATCATGTTGTATGAAAACAATACTGAAGTTGAATCATGTATTTTTGCACATAAGTTTTTACAACCACAGTCTTTGACCATGTCAGTGTGAACAGGAATGATCAGAACCAACGATGGAAAACAAAGAAACGCCACCTGGCAGTTGAAGTTATTAAATAAAGGAATATCTTTCCACGGCTGGTGCCACCATTCCATCAAGCGGTTGCTTACCATCATCATAACGTAACTCATGCACGTATCCATCGTCGCTACTCGCATCATCAAACCCTTCGCTGTGGTGGCCCATGCTGACGGGACCCTTACCGTCCAGGAAACTCAGGTGGGCGAAACAGGAAGTGGTCAAGAATTCCGACAGCTTCCCCGTCTGGATCCTGGAAAGGAGGACGAGGGGAAAGATGAAGAGTTTTGTGTGCGTCTAAAAAGTCTATTATAGTATTAAGTATAATTTTTTTTTTACCCCCTGGGAATTGTGGGCTATTTTGGCCCAAACCTTCCTCGTCATCCCTCGGTCGCAATATCAGAGACGCTCACAAGAAAAAGTTGTATTTTCTCGTTGTTTTAATTTACTCACCTTTTTTTTTTAATTAACTGTAAACATACAGAATATACAATCATTCTGTTTAGTCTAATTCAATTCAATGACTTGACCTCTGTATCTACGGTAACATTCACCTCGCTCCTCCATAGTACCCGTCCTGTAACTTCTTCAGTGTGGCCAAGACGGCAGGGTCCAGGTTTGTGTGGTCTTCAGCTGAAACACACACACACACACAGAATAGGAATACACACTCATACACACAGTAATGTTCTTCTCTGTCTGGTGAGTTCGTGTGTGTGTGTGTGTGTGTGTGTGTGTGTATTTACTCAGCATCGTCTGTGAAATGGGAAACGTGACAGTGGGTCGTCCAGTCATCCTCCACCTGGATGAGAGGTAGGAGATTTCTGTCCTCAACATCTCCACGATCATCTTGTTGTCCAACGCCAGGTAGAACTGCTGGTGATCGATGAACTGGAGCGATAAATATGATAAATATGATAAATAAAACTTTTAAATCTCAGACTTTATATTTTATTTCTTTTTCAGAAAAATTCCATTTCACCAGGATCATGTTTTTATGACTAATGAAATGGAAATCCATAGTTTTGGTGTATTATATAAAGAGATTGTGTTGTTTTCATGTTGTCAAACATCTGAGCTACGATCAAGTGACCGATTCATTTCTTTAATCATAATAAATCTGATCTTCTTTAATTTAAAACCTTTTAAAATTACATTTTTATGGAATTGTAAGAGCAGCACAAGTCGTTTGAGCAGCAAAGTTCTTCCATGACCTGGAAACCTGACAGATATTCGCTCTCTGTGTTTGCTTGCTGACCTGCGGAGTGAATGAGAACATGGTGTTCCTGATGATGTAGAACTTTGAGGTTCCCAACACTCCGATCCTCCTGTAGGGTCGTCCGGTCAGGCCGAGCCTCGGGTTACGTCCTGGGACACAGCAGAGGAAAAGAAATGAAAGGAGAGTCGAATACGAATTCAAATATGTGAGCAGCAAAATGATGAAGTTACATTCTCTCAGTCAGAAACATGAGGGTATGAAAAATCTGATTTTGAATTAAATTGCTGATTTTCATGTTGCTGAAATCATAATATTGAATTCGAAAGAAAAACAGGCACTTTCTCTTTATTCCAAAATGTTTCTGTCATCTCGTACCGAGTCGGGCGTAAATGTGGCTCAGGACTTTGGGGGGCTGCACGTGGATGGGATGGATGTCGGCCACCGTCTGAACGTCGATACCGTTCTTCAACAGCAGCTCTTTAATCTCCTCGGTCTCGGCCAGAATTGACACTGCAAGAGGAGACGGTTTTAACAAGCATCACAAAATCTGCTTAGGAATAACCACCAAGGGTAAAAATCACTCGACTTCAGAATCACTGTGGCACCGAAAGACACATTTGACTGTGAGTTTCAACACCTCGTGGTGTTTCCTGATAGCTCACCCTGTACGACCACATCAGGCTTAGGGATGGTGGAGAAACGGCGGTTCAGAGGGTCGATCTCTCCAGGAGCAAGAAAACCCTGAATAGTAAGAATAAATCACAATTAACCGTCACTGCCAACGACAAATGGTAAATAAACATAAAGATGAAAAAGATAAAGAATCAAAGTGATTCAAACTTCTCTCGTCCAATTTGTCTTTTTATGCAGATTAGTCAAATAACAAACGGATCATTTCCTTCTAGCAAGGTCAATCATTCCAAATTAAAACTGTTGAACTCAGACTCCAGCGCTCTCAGATGAAGATTATAGTTCTACTTTTTACATTCAATGAAATGACGTCTCACCTCAGACAAAAGGTTTCCCAGGATGTACAGAGACTGTCCCCACTTCAGAGGACATTTACCGGCAGAAACTCTCTCCACAGAGTGAGGGTTCATGTTCTCCTCCTCCACCTGTTTACATGTGGAAACACACAACACAATGAAACCACATTAAAGCCCAAAATAATAAAAGATATTCACAGCCGAACAGAAAAGCAAATAACACCACAAACAACCCTTGAAATGATTTCTCCTGGTTTGGTCACCTTATCTGCGGGGACGCTGTAGAGCTCTGGGACCAGACGTAACCCGTCTTTCTGTTTGATGAGGATTCCCTCCAGAGCCTCCTGGTACTCCTGCACCTGAATAAATGAATCATCACAAATAATCACCTTAAATGTCCGCAGAGGATAAGAGAAGTCTCATGTGTCTCTGAGGACAGATGTCCTGTGAACACAGGCAGGTGTAAACTACCTGTTCTGGGCTGTTGATAAAAATACCGTCCAGAATGAGGTAGGTCCAGAAGAGCGGCCACTCGCACTCGATGTTCTCGAACAGCTTCAGTTCTGCGGACTCGTAATACAGTCTGCTCGGATCCTGAGGGAAATGGGCGGAGGCAGAAATATGTCTTATCTTATATTTTTTTCAACCTTGATAAACGTTTGATGAATCGAGAAAAACATCGGGGACAAGAGCGGAAACAAGACGAGGACAGCACTGAAATTAGTTTTATAATTCTTACAGAAACAAAAGAGAATAGTTAAAAGTGTAGCCTCGTCCTCCTGCAGGGCGATTACCTCTTTAGGTGTTTTGTGTCCATCCCTGAGGAACCTGCAGCAGCCGTATCGACCCTGAAATGAGTTTTCATTAAGTTTAAAAATGCACGAGGGAAAAAGTAACTATAGTTAAAGTAGATGTTCATTTGAATCCTTCTGAAGAACTGATCTCCTCTCTTCATCGCTGGCCGTTATAAAGTCACATCAAGTAAAAACTCTCTGCACCTGGAGTTTGGAGATGATCTCCTCCTTGGTCATGTTGACGATGTTTATGTCCTCGACAGCAAACGCAGGGTACGAGATGATGGACAGGACTCCGGCGTCCACCTCTTTAGAGATGGACGCTTGGGGTAACATGGAGGTCAGGATGGACTGAGGAGAAAACATGTAAATGTTTTTAAAAGATGACATTTGTCAACACAGTATGTAATCGTGTGTGTGTGTGTGTACCTGGCAGTGCTGTATGTCGTCAGCTAAGGCGTGGACCACAGATCCAGGTCCTCCTTTTGCTCCGAACAGGTTGAGGTCGTCCAACGCCTCCAGAGCTGCCTGGAGGACACACAGCAGTGAGGTCTGATGTTATATCAAAATTCATTTGCTCCACTAAATAAGAAATAACACCTACAATGTTGTTGCTGGAGAATAACAACGATTCATATCCTAAATATTACAGTTATTGTGATTATCTGGACATTGAAAACACACTCAATCAGGACACAACATTACGTGTGTGCTGCATTCAAATGCTAAAAATGACATGTAATTAATAGAGCCTGGGACGTCCTGCAGTGGTGCCTGTTTCAAAAGTCTTAAATTAAACTGGGTGTGTGTGTTTGTGTGTGTGTGTACTGAGCGTGCCGTGTTATTTCTGAGCCAGAGGCCATTCTTGGAAGACCACAGAGAACCTGATATCTCCTGTTTGCTGTCAGACAAGGACAGCACTGGGTCAGACGTGGAGAGAGAGCGAGCAGCCAAAACTTCATAACTTCTATGTTTGTCTGTGATTTTTACATTTCAGGGATTTTGTTTTGAGTGAAACTAAACAAAGCTCGACCAGAATCCATCACAAATAATTTCTTAATGAGGTAAAACACGTTGCCGATGAGTCGAACACAACATGAATCCAAAGTGAAGTCAGTTACTGCCGAGTTCACAACATCTCCCATCTGATCCTGAGTCAGTGTGAGTCTGGGTTGTATAAAGGTCAGTGTAAAGGCCGCAACAGTGACCAGACACCTTGCTCCGTGCCAGATTCTTACTGCAGCACCTGTTGTGATTTTGAGAAGTTCTGCCATCGCTCAGGCTGTTTCTGCTCCTCTCACCTGCTTCCCACTATTCTCCTGAGCCTGTTTACACAGTTTGTGTATTTACTGTGTGTTTGTGTGTGTTTGTGTGTATTCACCTTGGCCATGCCTATAGAGCTGACGTTAATCTCAGTGATGCCCTGGTTGGTTTTGTCTCCTCTTTCCCACATCCCGTAATCCTGCAGGGAACCACAAAATCAGACGGTGATGTTAATACTTAAGGAAAATATAACAACACACAAACTGAAGCACTGAGAAGTGTAACAGCCCGTGAACCCACTTCCTGAACAAAACCACGAGTCTAAGAGTGAACGAATGAGAACTTACCGCCACTTTATAAGCTGCCTCGATGTAGAACATGAGATTCTGAACGACGTCCACTTCATCCTGAGTGTAGACGATGTGAAGGCCTGGAGAAACACGTGGAACCGTGAGCACATACATGCAGACAAACTCAGAACAATAATGACATTAAGAGATCATTCTTAAAATGTTAATAAAACTGTGGTTTTCAAAACCGTAATATGCATCGATGACCAGTTTCTTTGCAACAACATGCGTCTCTTTGCTGTTTATTTACCAGACGCGGTCATCTGGGCGAGGAAGAACAGGAAGAGTGAGGTGGCGTCCACCTGCAGGTGACCCCACTCGTCGTCTCCGACCACTGGAGCGCAGGTCCTGGTGTTGTACTTGGCGTGGAGGGAGTCTGAGGTGCTTCTGCTGTATTTAAACTTCTCCACCTTATCCAGCTGAGGAGGGAGCGGAGCAGAGAGCAGTCAGAGAACCAGGATTAATTCAAAACTTTGGCGGAGGCGTGAACTCTTTTTTTTTTTTTTTTTTTTTTTAAACCTCCACTTTATAATCGCTGTTATTGTTGAGACATTGTCCAGCTCTCATACGGTCTTGTGTGTTTGTAAAAGAGAAAAAAGCAAAGCACAACGTACCTGCCGCATGATACACTGCAGGACACCTCTCATCAGCTTTACCACACTCTAGAGAAAATGAAAGAGGAAGACAGAGGGCTGATTACATGTCAGTATTTTCAACACACTCTTCTTCCTGGTGGCCATTCAGAGAAACGTGACACTCTTCATCAGCAGACACAAAAGGACCTGTACACTCTGGACGGACGTATTCGACTCTGCGTGTGCACCGACACTTCAGAGGGCAAAGCGACAAACTCCGAACACAGACACACACCTACCTGCTCCAGCTCGTAGGCCTTGGCCTTGTCTTCATCTCTGTCTGCGTTCTTCCTGTAGGCGAGACTGAGGGCCCACACAGACAAGACGCTGTAAACGTTGTCTCGCACCCACGCGTCCGGCTGATCCGGGCTGCCCGGCAGGAGACCCGTCACCGGATCCTGTCACACACACGGAGAGGTCAAAGGTCAGGAGGAATGAGGAACCCTGGACAGTCGTGCTTCCTATGGTTCACTCATTCTGTGTGTAGCCGTGCAGCGCTAATCGCACAAATACAGTCAACACGTTAACCGTCAAACTATTTTGCAGGATTGTCGACATGGTGCAGATCTTTGGACGAGACGTATAATGATTCAGCAAAACAATTTAATTTAAGTTCTCTGCATCTGTAAATTTGTTTTAATTTAAAGCGTCATCAATGTGCAGAAACACTGAGCTCACCGTTGACCAGATTTGGTCATTAGTGCAGTGATCCATCTGAGCGGCGAGCCGTGCACGACCACAGGCCGGCTGCCATTTGGGCCGGATTCAAAAGACGACCTCACACCGAGTTTGTTGGACATTTCTTTAGGACGGGTTGGGACATTATGAGACGTTCATGCGACCGACTGAGGGAACGGTTTAACCTGTGTCCCCTTGCACAGAATGAAGTCCATGAAAACAAGTGGCACAGATCTGTGATCCAACACACACACACACACACAGAGGACACTATATCGCTAATTGTCCAAATATTAATTTCATCAATTGCAACGAAAGCTTCAGACTGACGTGCGTTGATGAATTGTTTGAAAAAGCCTTGGTGCAAACACAGTGAGAGGAAACGAGAACTACAACCTTCACTCAAGTTTGAAACTTCACACTTACATAAGGCGACAATTATCGCGATAATTACCGGGCTCTGGACCGAATCGTCCAGGCTGCGATTCAAACTCACTCTCTGTTGTTGTTGTTTGTGTGTTTGAATCTGATGCCTTGCGAAATGTGACTTTACAACATGAGGGTCTGAAGCTGCCCGCAGCCATGACACCTTCCTCCGGAGACACTGGCTGAATCACACCGGAGCGAACCCGTGGTGCCCGGGGCTGCAGAACCGAGCCCGGCCTCACCTGGTGCTTCAGGATAGTCTGCTGGACCATCCGGGCGTAGTTGTCCAGCTTCACGCCCGAGTTACTGCGACTCCTCATGGCGCCGGAGTCCTCGGTTCAGTTCGGGTTCAACGACACAAACTCCGCTTTCAGGCCGTCCGCGGTGGAGTCATCTCCTCGAGGGGCCGGGGAGGGAAGGCAGGTTTCCGGGGGTTCAGGAGCCACAGACGCCGCCGCCGCTGTCCGGTTCACCGAGAGTTAGAGAAGTCGGTTTATCCGCAGCAGCGACCGGACACCAGCAACCCGCGGCAAGCTAACTGAAGCTAACAGCTACGGGACAGGAAGTGAGGAGCTGCCGCCTTCAGCGTAAAAGCACTTAGACTTCAGTTTACTCCAATGTATTATTATTATTACTATAATAACAATATTA